TGGAAATTATAAGACAATTTTCCTTTCAAAGGAGGGAAAATGGTCCTCCTTGCTCACAAACATATTAGTAAAAACCTGACCCAGTTTCAGCAATACCTATATTGCTCTATAGACCTCTCTCTAAAATAGCCTTGGGGTTAGGGTTAAAAACAAAACAAAAAAGTAACCTACAAAAGCATGTCTCTTTACTCAGTGTGTTAGTACCAATATCCTATACTGAAGGAAGTTAAGAGGTGCCTCAGTGGACCCAAGGATGATCGAAAGAATCATTCTACCCTTAAAGAGTTCAAATAGGAAGCCAGCTCCACATGCTATGGTATAAGTGTCCTTTCTCCTTCCCAAAGCTAAGCCTTCGCCTGGGACCCTGGACTTTACAGCATGGCAAAAAAGAAAACCACAGGTTTAGAAGTCAAGCAGCCTAAGCACCAATCATGACATGAACCAAACCAAACCCATTGCCTTCCGACTCATAGTGCCCCTACAGGGTTTCCAATCTTTACGGAAGGCAACTATCACATCTTTCTCCTACAGAGCACCTAGTGGGCTTGAACCACCAACCTTTCAGTTAGCATGAAACACTTCTGAGAGGAAGAGTCCCTGAGCTTCCTCTCATACTCAGGCTGCAATAAATTCAAATCAAATGTGAAGGAGCAGGGAGAGAGACAGAACAGAGGGAAAGTAAAGACAGCTCTTCCTGCAGAAAACCAAGGGCGCCTGTTCTCTGATGCCAGGGGCTCTTCCACCAGTGAAGCAGTAAAATATTTGCTCTTCTTAATTGAGGCTTCACAGACCCACACCTCACCCCCTGCTTCCAAATGGTGGCAGACAGCAGGGCTTCTGCTTGATTCCTCTAGTTGCTCCTTTCTTATTCTATCTAATACAGGGAAGGAAGGGAAGACAGGAAGGAGAGAGGAACGAAGGTGATAAAGTTACAAAGAACTGACCCAATGCATCCCAGTCAGCACACTGCATTAGGTGATGATAAACACTGAAAATGCACACCAGCAAGGAGCCTCACCAAGTACCTCATCATGGACCACACAGTTCCTGGAGACACTGGGAATCCACTGCTCTTGGGTTCTGGTGGCAATGCGGAGTGGCAGGCACCCCAAGCTCCTTTGTGAGGGAAGCGCTGCTTTCCATTCTCCCAGTGAGGGTGCGCTGGCAGTGAGGAGGGATGGGGGCACCCAGGCTGCTGGGGGCTGCACTGATGGATGACCCCATTGCTCCTATTTGTGCAGAGAATCAAAGGAAAATAAAGTCAAATAGAACTACAAGGCTTACAAGAAATAGCAGTAGCCTGTCCCACACCCAAGCCCTGCTCCCTATAAGAAAGCAACGATTCTCAAGCCCTGTAGCTCTTTTGCTCCTGGTATTTACCACCATATTTAAAAACTAACAATTATTGTTTTCTGATTTTTTTTCAGTTGTAGACCTTATCATATTGACTTCCTACTAGAGAAGACTAGAACTCAGTCCCTCTTACACAGCCCCTACTACACACACACACCTCTTTTCCCCTCATTCTCTAAATACATTTATCCCATAATTTTTGGTTGAAGTGGTGTTTGGTGTTTACATAATTATGATTCTGTAAAACACTGTTCTTAGCTCAGCTACTCAAAAATAAAATAAATAAATAAGTCACAGTACTCTGGATGTAGCCATCTAAGAACTGTATCTAAAGACTGAAGTATTTGTACTACTGAGGAAGAGAGATAAGTGCATAGCAAAATGTACTCTGACTACATTTTTCTTTCCTGACTCCTCTGAGATACAATTCATAACCACTAGATCAGCAAAACATTAACACATCTCATACCACCAAGGGATAATGAGAATGTGAGCAAAGGGGTTCTTACACACTGCTACAATCACTGCCAAGAGCAATGTCTCAGTATGGAACACAGTGAACATGCATCTGCCTCTCACCTCAGCAGCTTCACTTCTACGTGTGTGCCTAGAGAAAGCCTCATCCATGTGCACAAGAACACAGGCACAAAAAAATTGGAGGCAGCATAGTCAACAATAAAAAAATGTGAAATAACCTAAATTCCAAGTCCAGAAGAATGGATAAATAGTGATGATTAAATACTATACAGCATTTAAAATGAGTGAACTAAATGTATCAACATCAATGAGTCTCAAAATCTTAATGTTTAAATGAAAAAAAAAGAATTGATACCATTTATATAAAGTTTGAACATATGTAGACAATGCTATTTGATATTCACTGGTCTATACATATGAAGTAAGAGCACCTACACATACACACACACACAAAATCAGAAATGAAAGGCACCAAACTGAGAATCCTGGCTACCTCTAGGAAGAAAGGAAGGGAACTGGGATCAAAGAACTCTCTTTTCTACATGTTAGAAATTATGTTCGAATTTTAAAAAAAAGAAGGAAAAGAAAAAAGAGAAAGTTAACTTTCAGGAGCCGATATTTCACTGAAAACATTTCTACCAGAGGGACTGTCTAATAAAAGAAGTCCCACTCCATTTGTGTGGCTCAATTTTACAAGTTGGGAATAAATCGCTTTTCACATAGAGAAATGCTTCTAACGTTTGTTTCTGTTACTGTTGCCTTCCTGCTGCCTAAATCATACAAGGGAAGATCTCAAGAATCACACAGTACAAGATGCTTATTCTGACTCAGCAGACAAACCAGGGGAAACAGATCCCTAAGAGTTGTGCAAAACTGTGTGTGTGTGCATTATACCGAGAAAAACAGACACAGCTTTGTGAGGTTCTCAAAGGGGCCCATGATCCCAAAACACTCAGAACTGCTGAGCTGGTGTAACTATCTCATGATACAAACATGAGCCCAGGCCCTCAGCAGCAGACGTGCTGGGAGGCCTCCCGAGTCCCTGCCTTGTGTTCCTGCTATGGAGGCAGTAGTGCCCAATGCTAACCATGTGGCTCTGGGGTCACACGGACACAGGAACAAATCCTGGTTCCATCTGTTACTAGCTGTTTCATGCTGGGCAGGTTCCCCTCCAAGCCTCAGTTTCCTCCTCTATAAAACAAGAATAATAGCCTCTACCTCATAGGATTGTTGTGAGCATTAAATGATTTAATAACTGTATATATGATGTGGCACAAGGTCTGGCACACTGCCAGCACTCCAGAAATATTAACTGTTATTGGCCTGTCTCCCAGTTACATACGCTTGCAACCCAAACATGTCCTTCATAGTACTTTACACAACTGTCATGAGCTACCCATGTGCTTACTTATGTGTGTCTCCCTCTAACAGCCTGGTCTTCGGGCAAAGGAGCATTACCTGTCCAGTTCTCAGGAAGGCACACAATAAGCATATGTTGAATAATGGATAAAAGGATAAAGGAAAGAATGGATGCCTCCAGTTACATAGAGCTATAGGTCACTATGAGTCGGAATTGACTCGACGTGTTTTCTGTGTGAGAGCTAAGAGCTTCTTAAAAAAACACACAAAGTATGAGCTGTGAGACTTCTAAGCTACATATTAGCAGTATCATTCCTTCCATAGAACTTCTAGTAGTTTATTATGATAGTCAAGAAAGATTATTAAAGGAAAAAAAAATTATCCCCCGTTGAAAAGAGCCTGCTCAACAGTGACAGGATGAAGAGGAGAGAAAGAAGTGTGAGCTGGAGAGTCACTAGACCACAGGGGACGTCAGTTCAAGGATGACATTAAAATAGCTCTGGACTGGACCAACTGAGAGCATATGCAGTCAGTTGTCACATCCTTTTGCTGCCAGTGAGGCAAAGCAGAAAGAAATTGGGAGGCAGGTACAAGGAAAGTGGGAAGTAAGAGGGGTTTACAGCTTGCTCTCTAAAATGAAGGCTGGCAATGCAATTACTCCCATCGATGGAGAGGAAAGAGAGAAAAGGATTCTCATTTAAGTCAAGGGAGAGTTCTGAGGTCCACAGTTTTCTTGGCATGAGCTTGGGTCAAAGTGATTAACTGGACTCCTTCCTTTTACATGCCTCTGAGATTTACAGACAGCTAACTGAGCACTAAACTCTATTTAAATCATCTCCAAGTATCACATGCCCAGGCAGGAAGGTGATCAGAATTTAATGACTCATTTCAGATTGTTGCCACTCAATTGCACTGCTCTTATCTTTATGTCAACAGTAAAAAGGAGTGGAGAATAAAGGGGGAAAAAGAGGCAGGATTTTTAAAAGATAAAATCCTTCATCTGACAAGCCATTTCTTTTAAAGTCCATAAGTTATAGCTTCTTATAATTACTGAAAAACTTAGGGTCTGCATGTCAAATTGTTAGTAACTATAGATCTGATAGGGGAAGAAAACTGTAGTAATATTTTTAAACTTTTAATACACCTTAGTCATACCTCTCATCTATAATTCACAGGATAAAATGAATGTGCTTTAAATTGTTTAAATGAAAATGGGCTACTAAATAAACTTGTTCTTTAATTTGAACATGATTCCAGTATGATTTACACTGGCTCTTTGTGTAATTCCAATAGGCGCCACTCAAAGCTCTTCCATAACAGTATCATCACTAGAGTAAACAAACAGGTTCCAAGTTAGCAGTGCTCTTTGATGGAGAGCACTCATCTGAATACAGAGATTCGAGGCAAGCTCTTAAAAAATTACCACTTGCAACCATTTCTTCTTAGGCATCAAGATTTTCTTAGTGCTACTTAGTCAGAATCTACTCGACTGTACACAACAGCAAAGTGCAACCAAACCAAATTAGCAAATAAACTTGCAATTAACATAGATGCTTTTCAATTTCAAACCCTGGGCTCACAAACACTACTTCATAGTCCTGACTCATTTTATAAAAGTGTGAGAGCTTGAACCTATAAAACTCATTTATGTTTACAAATCTTGTTCATTATGCTAGGGTCCAAGGTGACATTACATTTAACAGAGTGCTCTGCTTTTATTTTTTTTTTAATGAAAGCTTGGACACCATTGTTTTAAGTGATTCCTCTCTGGATATGCCACCACTTGATACGAAAACTTGAAAATGACTTACGATTTATCTTGCTTGTGGGATAAGGAAAAGAGATCATAAACCAAGCACACTCCAAACACCGTGATGCCTGTCTCCTTCACCAGCATTGCACAGGTCCCCAGAACCAAACTGAGCAGCAAGAAGAAGGGAGAAGCCGTGGGAGGGAAACATTCCCCAACACAACACTGATCCAAACTCCTGAAAAACATGTTGAGATTCTTTTAATCTAAGAAGAAACATGGATTAATAAGAAATGCCACCTTTCAAGGATAAGGTCTAATATCAACTTCATTTTATTCTAAGTAATTAAGTAGGTGAGCAAATATTTCTTCAGGAATGTTCATCATAGAATTACTGAAATTTGCAAAGATGGAAAAAAGTCGATATCCAACAATAGAGAATTTGGTACTTAAATTATGGTATATGCTAACAAACACTATAAAGCCATTGAAAATGCTGCCCAACATATATGCTTAATGACATAGAAAAATGGTTAAGTGAATATAGTTTAAGCAAATAATGCAGGTTACTAAACAACATGCATGGGCTCTAAAGCCAGGCTCCCTGGGTTCAAATCACAGCTCCGCAGTTCACAGTAAAATAAGTGGCAAGTTACCTTACCTCTGGGTGCCTCAGAACCCTTGTGTGTGAAATGGGATCATAGCACTGCTGGGAAGATTAAATGGTTTATCATAGGTCAAGTGTTTATCACATCATTATTTCAGTAAAAATATCTTTATATACAGATGTTCTAACCTTAGTCTTTTATTTTAGCTAATCTGTATTTTTTTATTTATTCTCTATGATTATGTATTAGGTGAAATGTATTTTTTCTCAGCATAATTTCCAACAGTGATTTTCAAAAACTCTCCAGTGTTGTACATTCTTTCGTTCACCTTACAAAATAGAAATCAGCCTCATACCAAGAAACATCACTGTTCCCTTCAGCAGCTGCCACACCCCTTTGCTCTTATTCCTTTGAAGTAAAAGCTAATATTTCTGTAGCTGTGATGTCTTGTCATTATTGTTTTGTCTTGGAATAACTGCATGAAATTATATGTAAAATTTTCGGTAGATATGCATTCTTCTAGAGAGCTGACCCATACCTTAGATTTCTAAAGGTGAGAATGGCATGCTCAACAGAAACCTGTAACAACCTGGCTCACTGCCACACAGGTGCGGATACACTGGAGGCTTAACCATGTTTCTGAGCAGATCAACCACAACTGAAAAAGCCCAAGAGAATAAGTCTACACTAAAACGAGAGTATTAATCTTCTTATAAAACCAGAGTAAACATTACTGAATTTGAGTTTTTAAAAAGATTTTCACTACACCATTTTGTACAGTTAGGAATACAGTAACCAACCAACCAACCCACTGCCAATGAGTCAATTCCGACTCATAGCGACCCTATAGGACAGAGTAGAACTGCCCCATAGGGTTTCCAAGGAGTGGCTAGTAGATTCAAACAGCCGACCTTTTGGTTAGCAGCCCAGCGCTTAACCACTGTGCCACCAGGACTCCAGTGGGAGGTCCCAAAGCCAGGGCTAGAAGACCAAGAAGAGCCTCCTCTCTTTAAAACAAAACAAAACTTCCCTGTAAAACCTAACCCATCATAAGATTTAATTTATTTCATTCTTGATCCAAGGCCTAATGGTTTATAACAGGGTTTCTCAATCTTGACACTATTGGCATTTTGGGGCCAGGTAATTCTTTGTCACATGGGCCAGCCTGTGCATTGTACGGTGGTAAGTAGCATCCTTGGCCTCTACCCACTAGATGCCAGTATCACTTCCCAAGTTGTGGCAACCAAAAATGTCTCCAGACATTCACAAATGTACCTGTGTAGGGGAGGAGAGACAAAATCACTCCTAATTGAGAACCACTGGTTTAGAACAGTGCTTCTCAAACAGAGTCACTGTGATTTGTAGCATCATAGGATGGGGATGTTTGTTAATGAAACATCCCAATCTAAAGAAGAAAGTTCATAAATCCCTAACCAGGCACCCTTCCAGAAAGCACGGCAACATGATTCACCCTCTCCCCTTTGTCTGGGCCATGCTGAGCTATCTGTCCCCACTCACATTCTCTTTTTAATTCACCCCTTTACCTATGTGGATGGTAACAATTCAGGTAACAATCTGATCACTTTACTGTTCTGGTGAAAAGTTGGGTACACTGCAAGACCACAGTTGAGAGTTAAGAAACACTGCTTTTAATGCACTTGTTACTTTAAACTCTGAGCTACTGTGGTGAGGATTCTAAACAGAAAAAAGAGAGAGAGAGAAACTAGATGAAGACCAGAAAGTAAAGGAGAATCTAAGTAAATCAGAGGCATATAAGAAAGGGTTATACTCAGCTTATTTCGGCTCACAGGTAAGATTCCCAATTCCATTTATGGTCAGAAACTAAAAGTAAGAGGAGTCAAGAAGCAAGAGCTTGGCTTTCCAGCCCTGGCAATTACTCCCTTTATAAGGCTATGATATGGTCCAGAATGTGTCTGGAACACATAGCAAGCCAGCATCATGGAAGGAGAGGTTTTCCTATTCCCAGGCCCCAGGAAGCTCACTAAGAATTTCACTGCCAAGAAGCCGTCCCCCTCTCTCAGAGGCAGATGCTCACAGCATACACACAAGGCAGAGACTCTCTGCGGACAAGAGACGACATCATAAGCGTAATCACAGAGAAGGGTACTGGCACCATACATACCTACTGTAGGAGAGAAAGGTCAACAGAAACAGCAGACATGCTAACACGTCAGCTCTGCCAACAATTCCAGCCACCTAAAAGTTAAAAAAAAAAAAAAAACTCAGAAAATTATTTTCAGAAAATCATTACCAAACCATGTTTTTAGATGAATTAAATGTACACGTTGTTCTTCTTCAAACTCTGATACATGTCTAGCCAACTCTAGTTATCACATATATTTAACAATAAGTTTATAGAAGGAGAAGACAAAGAAAGGAAGGGGATGCTTTTCATGCTTTACGTCATTTTTCACTTCTATAGAGGGTCAATTCACAGCATCAAAGTTTACTAATTCATTAATTTATTCAAAAATATCTTTTGAGCAATGACTGAGTGTCAGACACTGTGCTAGTTTTTGGGTACCAGAGTGCTAATGGACCAGGGGTTATTTACTACAGAGTATTGGGAAAAAATAGGAGCCCTGGTGATGCAGTGGTTAAGAGTTCAGCAACTAATGTAAAGGTTGGCAGTTCGAATCCACCAGGCGCTCCCTGGAAATCCTATGGGGCAGTTCTACTCTGTCCCATAGGACCGCTATCAGTTGGAATCGACTTGATGGCAATCGGGTTTTTAAGGAAAAAATAAGTTGAACGATAAATACTTATGATAAGAATGAGTCCGAACTCATGATTAATACATGTGTGTGGGAACATAGGCGTGCATGTATGTGTATGTATGTGTGCATGTGTATGGGTGTGTGTGTATTTCTTAGCTCTGTCACTGAACTGGACTAAAAGCTAGATGCCCCAGTAGCAAAAAGCAACCCAGCATTAACCACAAGTCATTTCCCTACTAAAGAGAATGTGGGCTCCTTGGAGAAGTATCTGATTAAAGGGCTGAGGCTGGGGAGATACAAGAGGAAATTGGATCATTTTCTTATGTCAGAATATAAGGAAGGGCTCAAAAAATGGTAGGTTCATATAAAAAGGACACGGGAGCCAGTAACAGAAGTTCCCACGGACCAAATGTGAGACGATTTGAACATCAACATCAGTAAGGACAGGAATGAATAAACCATTGAAAAAAACAGAGATCTATGAGTCAAAACTGATAATACATATATAGATGAATGAATAGATACTTATATACATACATACATACATACAGGAAGTCAAGTCAATGGGGAAGAAACAGAAAGATATTCTTTACATTGAAAAGCCAGTTAGTGAATGTGAAGAGAGTGGTAGAGTTGGAAGAGAACTGTTTTGCATCCATCAGAGTAAAGACTGGATCAAGCAAAAAACATCAAGAAATATCAATGGATGCTAAAGTAAATTGGGTGAAAGTTTGATAAGGCAGAGAGTATTTTGCATGGTTTCAAAGTGTCTCCCACTGATTATTATTAGCTGGAAAAATACAAACAAAAGAATAATCATACTGCTGTGAAACTGGATTACAACTGAATTATATCTTGACTGGGTAATCAAAATTAACCTCACCAATAAAGCGCAGAGAAATATTGCATGCTTCTGCATGTGATACCCACAGAAGGACAAAACATCACTTATGTAGTATTCTGGCCAGAAAAACATATCCTGTATACAATCATGAGAAAACATTAGGCAAACCCAGGATGAGAAACTTCTATAAAAATACATATATGTTTATATTTATACACATATATGTTAATAAATTATAAAATGTGCTTTTTATTGTGGTCTACATGAGTCAGAATCGTTCGACAGCAACAGGTTTGGTTTCTTTTTAATATGTAACAAATAAATCATTTACCATTTCAACAGTGACATTAGTGATGTTTATCCTGCTGTTCAACCATCATTATCCATTTCCAAATTTTCCCATCACCTTTAACAGAAGCTCAGTACCCTCTAAGCAGTGAGTCCCTCCTTTCCCCTCCATCCTACCCACCCCTAAGCCAAACAAACCCATTGTCATCAAGTGGATTCAGACTGACAGAAATCCTATAGGATAGAGTAGAACTGCTTTCCAAGGCTGTAAATCTTTATGGAAGCAGGCTGCCACATCTTTCTCCCAGGGAGCAGTTGGTGGGTTGGAACAGCACCGACCTTTTGGTTAGCAGCCAAGCGCTTTTATCACTGTGCCAGTAGGGCTCCTTACCTGCCCCTAGTAACCACTACTAAACTTTGGTCTCTATACACTTGCCTGTCCTAGGTATTTCATAATATTAAACAATTTAATCTATCTATCTATAGTGACTTAATCATTACAACACATAATGTATCATAATGTACGATATATATACTTATATATATTGTATATATGTATATATTGGAAGCCCTGGTAGAGTAGTGGTTAGGGACTACGGCTGCTAACCAAAATGTCAGCAGTTCAAATCCACCAGGTGCTCCTTGGAAACCCTATGGGGCAGTTCTACTCTGTCCTATAGGGTTGCTATGAGTCGGAATCAACTCAATAGCAATGGGTTTGGTTTTTTCGGTTTATGTATATATTATATATACTTACAGATATTAATATATATAAATATATACTATAGATTTATACATTTACATATTATGTTTATATATTCAATGTTATGTTTATGTTATTTTTTTATATTATAGTTTTTATATATTATATATAAATCATAGGTTTTATAAATTATATAACATTTAATTATATAGTTTATATTTAATTAATTATATAACATTATATAATTACATTAAAATGTTTTATATTATACAAATCTTTAATGTAAGTTATCAAATTATATCTGTAAATTATATACAGAAAGACAATGGAAGACTGATAACTGTTCCAAACTAAAACGATCTGAAGAGGACAAAAGAGACATGACGACTAATGCTCACGTTCTTAGAAAATACGCACTAAATTATTAAGGTGAAAAAACAGCATGAATTATGCAACCTACTCTCAAATGCTTAATAAATAGTATTTTTATTTATTGAGGGAAAAAGAAAAAGAATGGTAAAACTAGTGTAGGAAAATGTTAAAAGTTGATGAATCTGGACAAAGAGTATACGGTCATATTATTCTTGCAATATTTTTCTATTAATCTTTTTGAAATTATTTTTTAAAACATGTTAATTCAGAAGGGGGTTGAAATGGAAGAGAGGTAGGGGACAGAAGCTATTCATAATCTTTGCATTTTTTCACTATTTAAGATTATGTGTGAAGCCCTGGTGGTGCAGTGATTAAGAGCTTGGCTGCTAACTAAAAGGTCGGCAGTTCTAATCCACCAGTCACTCCCTGGAAACCCTATGGGGCAGTTCTACTCTGTCGTATAGGGTCGCTACGAGTCAGAATCTACTCGACAGCAAGTTTTGGTTTGGTTTAAGATGTATGTGCATTTCTTTTACAATTTTTTAAAATCTAACAAATAAAATTATAAGGGAAAAAATGGGATACAGTTCAAAGGCTGCTTCAAAGGGACGGTCACATTGGAGCTGAATCTTAAAGCTGAGGAGAAGGTCACAAGGCAAACACACAGCGTTGACATTTCAGGCAGAGACACAGCACCACCCAAACCACAAAGGACTGGAAGTCCGAGCTGTATTAAACAATCAATTAGCAATTAATAGCAGAAAACAATTTTCCAGGAAATGTATCTATAAATATCCTCATAAAGTGAACACATAAAATGCAGTCATAAAGGAGAGGCAATGAAAAAAGCTTGGAGCTAGACCACGCCTGGTTTGAATCCTGGCTTCTTCACTTTTCATCGGAGTGCTCACAACAAGTGTTTCCTAAACTCTTTTGAGACTTGGTTTCATTACCTTTAAAATGAGTGTAACATCCCCTACCTCATGTGACTGTAATTAATGAAATTATACATATAAAGGACCTAGTCAATAAATGTTGGTGCCTTTCTCTCCTTTTCCTTTCAGAGAAAGGGAATGGGAGTCTCAAGCCCTGAGACTGATTTTCCTGTGTGGCTTGTAGAAATCATATTTTTACTCTAAGGTTTACATGGATAGTTTAAGTTAACTTTATTAAATGATCTAATAAAGTTATTAGTTAAAAATCTAAATTGTAATTCAATTATAGGCATGTATATGGATTGGCATCAAGTTACATATAGAGAAAAACTCTATCCCAACCTACACCAAGAATTAAATAATGAATTAAAGAACTTCACTGGCAGAACAGAGTGAAAGCTATTACCTAATGTGGCCACTTGGACCACACACTGTTCATTGATCTGTTAATCCTTAAGTAACGAGAATGCCAGATCAGGAGGGAAGGCAGTGAAGAGTGTGGTGTCACTGCAGTGTCAAGGCCCAACTCAGACTGAGTCTATAAAGTAACAATTGTGTGCAGTTTACCTGTGAAGCTCAAATTTGTTCAGGCTACCCAAGTGTAGCTCAACATTACCTGCAAGGTCCCTTGAAGATTAAACAGAGAGCCCAACTCACAAGCAACAAAGTCTTGGGATAAGGCCAGGCATCTGAGCCTGGGGGGACACTCATCACAGCACAACTGGGTAAGACATGCAAGCTGATACTGGGTGTAGCAAGTTGGAATGAGGCAATCACAAGCTAGGCAAGCAGAATTAATACATTAAAAGCACCCTGAAGTCCTGCTTCTCACACTGCAGCCAGTTAGTGCTGCCGGGAAACAACAGCAACTGAATGTGCCAGCTGGATGTGAAGAAGTTCAGAGGGGTTGCTGAAATGTTGGTGCTAACACTGACAGACTCTACCGCCAGTTCCAAACCATAAGCATTCACTGAACATCTGTTCTATCCTCCTGTTGAGCTGGGGTCTCTAGAGGAACAGGATTGGATTTCTAAAAACAGGGCACTATGTCTAGACCACTCATTCATTGTGATTCAGTTAGACAGTATCACCATGTTCAATAATTGTGTGTTTTATTCCAGTCAACAAACATTTCCAAGTAAACCCTCTTTTGACTCTCTACCAGATGTTAAACTTTTTGAGGTGGGTTGTATCCCTCCAGCTGGCACAGTACCTGACAAATAAGAGGATGAAATACGATACAAGGAAACTGCACGCATCATAAAGAGAAAAAATAACTACCAGGAGAAGACAGAAGGGATTAATTTTGGCCAAGGATCTGGGAAGGCTTCTGGAAG